TAGTTGTTGAAATATAAACTACAAAATATAATATTGAAGAGAGGAGGAAAGATTTTCTGTGTATTTCATTGGAGGGTTAAGTCCCTATAAATATACATTACAAAGATAGAATATTCCTATAAGATTCTATACAATAATAATATCCTAGAGTATATTCCTAAAATATTCTAAAGTATATTCTAAGGATAGAAGAATATTCTAAAGTATATTCTAAAGTATATTCTAATGTCTTTCACACTCCCCCTCAAGTTGGAGCATAGATATTTATCATGCCCAACTTGTTACATAAATAACCAACACGAATTCCATTTAATGCTTTAGTGAACAAATCTCCAAGTTGCTCTCCAGTCTTCACATATCCTGTAGAGATCAATCCTTGTTGTATCTTTTCTCGAACAAAGTGACAATCGACCTCAATATGTTTTGTTCTCTCATGAAACACTGGGTTGTTGGCAATGTGTATAGCAGCTTGGTTATCACACCAGAGTTTAGCAGGCATTGGTGTCTTCAATCCGATTTCACTCAGCAAATGGTTTATCCAGATTATCTCACATGCTGATTGTGCCATAGCCCGATATTCTGATTCAGCACTCGAACGAGAAACCACATTTTGCTTCTTACTTTTCCAAGAGACGAGATTACCACCAACAAAGACGCAATAGCCAGATGTGGATCTCCTATCATCTTTAGATCCAGCCCAATCAGCATCTGCAAAGCATTCTATTCTCATGTGATCATGATTTTGGTAAACAATACCTCGTCCTGGTGTCCCCTTCAAGTAACATAATATATGCTCTACTGCATTCCAATGATCAACTGTCGGAGATGACATATATTGACTCACTACGCTCACAGAGTAAGCAATGTCTGGACGAGTGACTGCGAGATAGTTAAGCTTTCCAACCAATCTTCTGTACCTTTCTGGGTCTTCGAATGGTATGCCTTCTGAAGTGAGTTGCACATTGGGAACCATGGGAGTTGTGTTTGGCTTTGCTCCCAATTTCCCCGTTTCAGTTAGTAAATCAAGTACATATTTACGCTGAGATAGAAATATGCCTTTCTTACTCCGTGTTACCTCAATACCCAGAAAGTATTTCAATGAGCCTAGGTCTTTTGTTTGGAATTGGCTATGAAGAAAATTCTTAAGGGCCAAAATACCTGCGGTATCACTTCCTGTAATCACAATATCATCGACATACACCACAAGCAATGTGATACCTGCTTTCGTTTTTCTGTAAAAGACAGAGTGATCTGATTGACCTTTTATCATTCCAAACCGTTCAATGGATTGACTGAATTTCCCAAACCATGCACGAGGACTCTGTTTCAGACCATAAAGAGATTTGCGAAGTCGACAAACTTTCCCATACTCCCCCTGAGCAACAAATCCCGGAGGTTGCTCCATATAAACTTCCTCCTGAAGGTCACCATGTAAGAATGCATTTTTAATGTCCAACTGGTGTAAGTGCCAATCATGAGTTGCAGCGAGTGAGATAAGTAACCTGACAGATGTTAATTTAGCAACAGGAGAAAAAGTGTCAGAATAATCAACACCATAGGTTTGAGCATAACCCTTTGCAACCAATCGAGCTTTCAATCGAGCAACAGATCCATCTGGATTAACCTTAACAGCAAAGACCCACTTACATCCAATAGACTTCTTCCCTGAAGGCAAGTATACCAAATCCCAAGTACCATTAAGATCCAAAGCATTCATTTCCTCTACCATGGCATGTCGCCATTCAGGATGAGACAAAGCTTCTTTAACAGATTTGGGAACAGAAATAGAATCAATGGAAGCAACAAAAGAACATGAGGCAGGAGATAACTGACTGTATGACACAAATGAGGAAATAGGATGAGTACAAGACCGTGTACCTTTACGTAGTGCTATCGGGAGGTCAAGATCAGATGTAGAGACAAGATCTGAAGATGCAGGTACTGGTTCAGGACATGAGATCGAAGTCGGACCAGTATCAGGATATGTAATCACATGTGTCACAGGTGGGGAGTGATCTTGTGCTTTGTGTCGACGGGTGTAAACCAAGTGTACAGGAGGTCTAGGGTCAGGAACAGTGACATTCGACATAGTTACTGAAGGTGTGGTCTCAGGTATAGTAACTGTGTAAATGAGTATTTCATCGTTGTCCTCATGAATATCTGTCTTGGATGATGAAAATGGTGTATTTTCATGAAATGAGACATCAATAGAAATAAGATATCGACCTGTACTTGGACAAAAACATCTATACCCCTTTTGAACTCGAGAATAACCCAAGAAAATACATTTCAATGACTTGGGGTCCAATTTCGTCCGATGAGGGTTAACATCTCTAACAAAACAAGTGCAACCAAATATTTTAGGTGGAATAGGAAAAAGTTCTTTATTTGGAAAAAGACATTGATAAGGAGTTTTACCATCCAAAACAGAAGATGGCATACGATTGATCAAAAAACATGAAGTAGACACAGCGTCAGCCCAAAACTGTTTAGGCACATTCATTTGGAATAGAAGAGCCCTTGCAGTTTCTAACAGATGTCGATTCTTTCTTTCAGCAACTCCATTTTGAGGAGGTGTGTCTACGCATGAAGTTTGATGAATAATGCCATGTTGAAGCATAAAAGATTTAAATGGAGCAGATAAATATTCTTGGGCATTGTCTCCCCTTAACACACGAACAGGAACATTAAATTGAGTTTTAATTTCAGCACAAAATGCAGAGAAATGAGTAAATAACTCGGATCGGCGCTTCATAAAATACACCCATGTCATACGAGAATAATCGTCAACAAAAGTGACAAAATATTTGAAACCAGGTTTGGACACAACTGGACATGCCCCCCAAACATCAGTATGGACAAGATCAAACGGAGCATTTGCTCGTTTATTAAGTCGGGGACTTAAACTAGTGCGATGATGTTTAGCAAACTCACACGACTCACATTGTATAGAAGACACCTTATTAAACTGAGGATATAATTGCTTCATTAGTGAGAGAGATGGATGTCCTAATCGGTAATGAGCTTCTAATAGATTTCCAACCCCAAGGCAAGAGATACCTTTTGTAATTGATGTATCCAAAATATAAAGACCACCCGACTCATGTCCTTGACCAATAGTATGCTTCGTTAACAGATCCTGAAACACACAATATCCCGGAAAAAATGTTACAGAACAATTAAGAGTACGTGTGATTTTACTGATGGAAAGCAGATTAAATGCAAAATTAGGAAGACTCAAAACAGACGATAATGGTAATGTAGAAGTTGGTACAACAGTACCAGATCCAAGAACGGGTGAGGTAGACCCGTCTGCTAAAGTGACACTGGAAGCAGGTAAATGTGAGTGAAATGATGAGAATAGACTAGGATTACCAGTCATATGATCTGTGGCACCTGAGTCAATGACCCATTTTGAGGATGATGAAACAAGACATGTGTTTGAAATACCTGAATTTGCGACTACCGAGATAGGGGTAGATGAATGCTTTAGAGATTCTTGGTAGCAAATAAATTTAGCATACTCGTCTGAAGAAATAGCAATTGATCCATCAAATGAACTCGTAGCGGAAGCAACATGAGCAAGCTGATTTCCTTGATTTTTGAACAGCAACTTTCTACATTCTTTGAGCAAGTGCCCGGGCTTCTTGCAGTAATGGCATATTACTCCTCTGCCAAATGGACCCGTAAAAGACATTCTTTTTTTCTTTTTTTTTTTTTGATTTTTTTTTTTTTTTTTTTTTGATTTTTTTTTTTTTGATTTTTTTTTTTTTACTTTTTTTTTTTGAGAATAAATAAATAAATACAGCTAATTAAGACTTACCAGCCGCAGCTCAATAGATGGTTGGCGAGGTCTGGGTTTCTGACTTACCAGCTAATGATAGTGGCGACTCCAAAAATATAACGCAGCCCCTTTCTAATTCGAGTTAGTTCACCTAGTCTCAAATCCCAACCTTTCTCAACAGTCTGCGTCGCCAACCTCAAGAAGACCGTGGATCCAAAAGCTCGCAGATCGGAAAAATGGATTTGCCTGGCAGAGATGGCGATTTCCGATTAGAAATCCGGTCAGCTATGAAGCTTCACTCGCCGGCGCGTGCGGCAGCCGAGAAAGTCTTCGGCGGCGCGTGTGACTGACGCGCGAAGCTTTGCCGGTGCGGACTCCAAAGACGTGGTCGGCGGCGGCAAGTGCAATTGGTTAGGACGGAGGTGAGAAATAGGACGGTGTTGGTCTGGACAGAGGTTCTGTTTAATGGTGTGTAGAGGTTCTGTAGGCAGAATGGTGTGTAAGGTTCTGAAAATGGTGTGTAAGGTTCTGAAGTTAACTCAAGTTCTTGGAGAAAGAACCCAGCCTGAATACTGAACTGAAGTCAGCCTGAATAAAGAACTGAAATCTGAAAAACTAAACTGAAATGGAAGGCTCTGATACCATGTTGAAATATAAACTACAAAATATAATATTGAAGAGAGGAGGAAAGATTTTCTGTGTATTTCATTGGAGGGTTAAGTCCCTATAAATATACATTACAAAGATAGAATATTCCTATAAGATTCTATACAATAATAATATCCTAGAGTATATTCCTAAAATATTCTAAAGTATATTCTAAGGATAGAAGAATATTCTAAAGTATATTCTAAAGTATATTCTAATGTCTTTCACAGTAGTCAATGGCGAAATATGGCGCGCGCCATATGCGTTATCGCCATGAAAAAGTGGCTGTCGCCATAGCGCCATATGCACCATATGCGCCATTCGTATATCCGCCATCGCCATTTGCCATGAAAAATGCCTTTGACCCATGGCGATCGCCATGCGCCATGACAACTATGGTTAGCGCAGGTGAATGATGCTGAAAAAGGTCTTAGTTAGCTGAACCACCAGGCATTTAGTTGTATGGTAGCTCTGTAATCTTAATACTATTAATTACGACCATTGTAGTAATAATAGTAATATTTTTGACATACTTAAAATTTGCTGCTTCACACTGAGGCATGTGCAGGTGAATGATGCTGAAAAAGGTCTTATTGTGCTGAACCACTTAATATGCGAATGGATCCAAAGGCAGTATCATCTTTAACTGTATGTGACTTTAGTCTCTTTAAATTGATCTCTAAACTACTATAAACCTATGGTTACATTACACTTACATGGTGAACTGTTACTTCTAATTACATGGTGGATGAACTTAAAATGTCGAATCATGTATTGATTTTCTTTCATAAGATTTATCTAGTGTGCTGACTGTGCTCATTTATCTCTTTGTAGTATTTTGTGCAAAAAGACATGTATTACTAAAACATGTCAGGTAGTGTTTGGATTAAAGAAATTGAATTGAATTTCTTAAATTAATTTTGAACTTTGAAATAACAGAGTTGGAATCCAACTCTCTTTTGAGAATAAAAAATATTTCAATCCTTGAAATCTGAATTTGTCGTTTGGGAAACCATAGAATATGTCTTACAAAATTCTCATTCTAGTTGATACACTACTATGATTTCTTCTTTACAACACAATAAAAGGTAATACTAACATAAATTAAAATTTTACAAATAATAAGATAAACCATCATTGTTACAATCTAAACATATTCATGTTATTCAAACAAACGAACATTTGAATGACTTGGAATGCTATAAATTTTAGAATTTGATGTAAAAGTTATAATAATAAAAGCTATGCTAAAAAAGTGCACTGATGATTAAATCAAATATGAAAAACTAATAAAAATTAATGTTATCAAGTATCAAGCTCCCTGTCGTGATCCAGATTCATACTTCTTAGTCTTCCAAGATGATTGATTTCCAATACAAATTTTCAGTGGTACAAAAGCTTACGGAATTTTAGGAATCCTAGTCAATGATGGATGCTTTACGGAGCTTCCCGGACCCAGATGATGTGAAAATCTTCCTCATGTGCAAGGGATATGATGGAATTAAAGTTCCATCTATTTTTCATGGAATTTGTAGTACTAATGTTAGAAGAAGTGATATGATGGAATTGAAGTCCTTACTAGAGGTCAATATTTCCACGATCTAAAATTCCACGGTCTAAAATTCAGTTTTTTTCATTAAGCCTTCGTTTTATGTTTGAGAAGGTGAATAATTTTAACCATTTCATTAATGAATGGACTTTCTTAGGTGGGCTGGGATTTGGTGCCCCAATCCAAATAATTGGATTCCCAAACAGTGAACTTTAGCCAAACTCCGAATTTAAAATCAACTTTTAGTGTCCAAACGTAATACTACAGTACTACTAGTATTTAGTGTCAATACTTCGTCATGATCTCGTCCATGGATAAGGGTTAAGCAATGTCATATTTTATTACAGGAAAATGAAAGTGCATTTGATCACCGATTTCAACGCACTGATCAGTGGATGCCTGTTTATTCTTGGTTAGAGTCACTTGATACAGATGAGGTGGTAAAATCAAAAGACATTTTACACTGGCTTACTGAGAATGCAGAAATCAGAGAACAGTTATCCTCAAGGCATTCACGCTACCATTTGATGCATTACATAAAAAAGTGTCATGTAAAATTATTAAAGAGAAAGGGGAAAAAGGTAATTTTAAGGTTTAAAATATGCTTTCAAGTCCGATGTTGCTTGGCATTGCTATAATCCTTCCCTCCCCAAAGGGTGGAACCCAAGAGCCCAATATGCATGTTTAGTTGGCAGTCAACTGGTTTGGTTATCTGACTATATCTTCCTTTCTCATAGGATCTATTGAAATCATAATTCTGAGTTTTGAGGTCTTTAATCTTTAAGCATTTGATAAATAAGTTGCCTAGAATGTAGATGGGTCATGATACAAACCGGGATGTGACATCTCTGACGCGATGGTTCACCAGTTTTTCACCATTGATGCTCCAGAATTTTTTGGATAAAGTTTGATCCAGAGAATTACATCGAGTGCACCATACATATTCTGTGAATTGGAGTAGCATTGTGGACAAAACGGCACATCGGTGTTCCACTGATTTTATGATAGAGATTCCAGAAATTGATGGTAAAATTGATGTATATTAAGCTGCAATTGTTTAAAACTGAAAAGAGAGAGATACAATTGGGACACTTCGAGCAGTCTCCTCTCCGAAGCCCAATCCCAACTCAAATTCTGCCTTCCTACTTATTCCTTACTTAGCTTTTATTTATACTACTCTTAATTTTATGATAACACTATTCTATCCGGGTCCCTATCATCTTATTATTATTGATCTGCCTGGGTTTCTATCATCACCCCCTTTGACAACCAACTTGTCCTTAAGCAACAGAACTTTAGATATACTATTAAGTAGGAATTCAGAGAAAGCTCAGAATGTCCTTAAGCAACTACAATGGCGTGAGCAGTAAACCAACATAAGCAGAAAGAAAGAGAAGACGGATTTGAGACACTTTGAGAGGCCTCACTCTCCCAGCATTGGCAGTGGTTGATTGTGGCATTAGTTGTTGGTGAGAGTTGCTGTCAGTGGAAGTGGTTATCGACAGTGGTGGGGGTTGTTGACAATGAGCACTGGTTAGCAACAGTGTTGGGGCTTAGCTGGTGACTGAGAATAGTGGTAGTTGTCAAGTAATCATATCTCATAATGGAAAAGGCTAGGAAGCACGGAAACGTCGATCTGGGCCAAGTTTCCGTCCCGGAAACGTTTTGGAAACGCGAAACACGTGGAAACGCCGGGAAACGGCTGGGAAATGCCCAGAAACGTTTCTGGGATCTTGGGCTTCTGGGCCGGGTTGGGAAACGTTTCGGAAACGGGGATGGTAGTGGGTTGTGGCGTTTCCGGTTAATTTCAATAAAAAAAGGTCGGTCAATTATTGAACAATCATTCGCGTTTAGTTTTTTAAAACAAAAACCTGCTACGTTCAGAGTGCGCCTCTGCGACTATACCCTCTCCGTAATCCGTATTACCGCAGTACCAGTCGACGGCTTGGTGACTGCTTCGAATACCAGGTGACGGCTTGTTGAAGACTGAAGCAACGGTTACCCGCTGGACTTGGTGACTCTTCGAATTGGCTGGAAGGGAGACTTGGCCGAAGAAGGGAGATGCTTGCTGCTTTACTAGTTCGCTTCTTCTCTGGACGGGAGGGGTTCTTTATTTAAATAGTATTGTTTGGAGTAAGTCTTCCTATATTTATCATTAACTATGGAAACTGGTAGTGGTTCTAGTGATGATACAAGTGGGTCAGCCAAGAAACATTTACTTATTCTACTCCGTATTTTATTACTCCGTATTATGCATTTATATATAATGGATTATAACAAGTATTATGTTTTGTTTGATTATTACGTATTTGTTGGACATAAACATTACCTATACTAATAAATTTTAAATTTTTAGTTCGACGTTTCCTTGCCGTACCCGTATCTTGATATTTTGAGTTCAGAGTTTCCCCGTCCCCGTTTCCGTTTCCGTTTCCACCCCGGTGCTATTTAGGGAAAAGGTAGCCTCTTCCATTCATAATTTTATTTTGCTTGACCAATTCAAGGTGAAAAAAGCGTGTGGCTGAAAAGGAGGATTGAGTAGAGCCTTAGGTTTTTGGGATTCTCAGTTGCTTTTTTGAGAGGGGAGGAATTGTACACAATCAATTCTGGTGTGAAGAGTTGAAAGGCTTCCAGCAGGCCAGGCGAGTGAATCCATCCTTCTCAAGCCGGCATGTGATACTTTGAATATCTAGGGTAGATCGCAGATCAGCTATAATAGTTGGCTTTATTGAATCCTTTGAAACAGCTATTTAGTTTTCAGTTTTCTAAAAAAATAAGAGTACCCAATAGAGCCAATACTTTCTTACTAAATCTTTGTAGAACCCAGGGCCTTCCACATGAAAAGTTGAAAATGAAAGGAAGTGAGTGATCAAGAAATCATACATGCAAAAAGAGAAAGGAATGGTTAATGAATCTGAACATGAGTGGATTGGGGAAGATATGGCATCTGGGTTCGAGGCTATGCAACTAGAATTGGAGTTTCTACAAACTTGATTGCTTCATTTTCTTGCCGGACCTATTGGCTTCCTCCTCCTCCTTTCTTGACAGGTTTCTTTTCTGTCTGACTTAAAGTAAAGGCTCCCAGGAGTGACACTTACCATAGCAAAAAAGAATGACTCTTTCCACACCTGGAAATCGCATGTTGTGCTCCAGCTTGCAGGAAAAGGAGTCATCATGGTTTTGAAGGCGGGACTGCCCAAGCTTGACCTGAAAGACCCATACCTGATTAGGACTAATGCTTACAAATGGAAGGAGAAAGAAGACCTTAGCTGTCATAGGTGTTTGGTTTAAACTTATAAAAACACTCAGCATAAATGTCAAGTGTTTTTCAGTTTTTCCGGAAAGCTGGGAATCTGTTCTATATTATTGTTTTCTGTTATCCTGTTTCTGGAAAACTGATTTTTTACAGTTAGTTAGTGGCCACCTAGCGTCCAATTTTCCATTTTCACGGCGATTTTGTGGATTAATCTTAGTTGCACTTCGTGATGATTTTTTTTGATAGGATGATTTCACTTAGAGCCTGGTTCTTGGTTCGGTAACACTTAAACAGCCCCTCTTATTTAGGCTTTCAGTAATCCCACTTGCCACTCTAGACTATGGTCCCAATTTGCCGCCCAAGGGAAATTCTTCCTCAAACTCCGGCATGGAAATTTTAGAGGCATAAGGAAAATAAACTACACCCAGTCTCAGTTTGACTTGTGCAGTCTTCAATATCCATATTTGACCATTGTTTATTCAAATATGTATTAATAAACATTATAATAAGTATAACTTAATCTTTCAAAAATATATATTGTTTTACACAGAATGAGTAAAATGAAAGTGGACAGATAAGAGACTATTTAAATTACTGAACATAAAGAGTTTACATGTTCTAATTGTTGATTGTGAATTGTGTATAAATTGTCTACTTTATGTATAGACTAAGAGAGATTATTCTAGAGCTGGTACAAAAGGAATTGGATAGGACTCTAAGTTAAGCTAAAAGATTAATTGTTATTCTTTCACCTCCCTAACTGTTAAAGTATTATGAAACAGACTTCTATAATAGGTATCAAGCAATCTAGAATTTAGTTATGACAATAGAGTCTGATGTTTCAGCATATTGAAACCAAATGATCAAAGAATATTTTCACATCTGGGTTATTTACTCGGCGAGTACTCGGTGAGTACTCCCTACTCGGCCTATGACCTTGCAGAGTAGCACATTACTTGGCCCGAGTTATTATTCTGAGTTACTCGCCGAGTACTCGGCGAGTTAGCCAACTCGGTCAGTGGGTCAAAAAGGCGATTTACTCGGGAGTACTCGGTATTTAAAAAAAACATTACCTCCGCTTGGAAAAAAATTAAATTGAGATTATCCTCTGTGTTGTTTCTTATTCTCCCTCATGTTGCCTATTATATTCTTCTCTGTATACTGTAACAAACTCTAAGAATCTTGGATTGTTCTTCGGTTGCTTGTGCTTCTTAAACTGGTGTTTTCATTGTACATTTTCAAGTTTTTGGCCAACTAAAGTGAATGTATTGAATGTACCTCTGAGACCTGAGTTGCTGAATGCTGAAATAAAATCTCTTAATTGAAAAGGTGGGAAAAATATAGCTTAGCAAAAAAGCATCATGTTTGGTTTTGGGTGAGTTGCAATTTTCATTTAGGGAACTACCTTTGAGGACTCGTTGTTCGGTAGGTGCCACTTTGAAGTTACTTTGAAGTTCTTCAATTGGAATAAGAATAGGTGCCAAAAAACTGCAGAAAATATTTGCCTTTTCTTCCACTGCTCGTGGTTCTTGAAGTTGTATTGTTGTATTCTGGTATTGTATACGTATTATATGCATTTTAACTTTTAAGACAATTTCTATCCTTTAATTCACTTCTAAACATTTTAAGACAATTTTATTACTATATTTTAAGACTACTATATTTAAATATATTTTTTATATTTAATTAATACTAGGCCGAGTAATCACCGAGTAATCCCGAGTAATCGGTCCTACTCGCTACTCGGCCCTTGACCGAGTAGCTACCGAGTAGCGAGTAAACTACCTAGTTTCACATTATAAGTGATACGTAGTATAATTTATGAAGAGTTAATAGTCAATAATGAAGTTTGAATTGAAAAGTCAAGCATTCAAGCTGGTACTTTCATTTGGGAACGGATGGAGTACCTAATATTGAGCTTTTGCCATAGTGTGATTGTTTTGTGAAATTGTACCTTTTCTTATACTCTCATTTCTATTCTAGAGTGAATTTTATCATTGTTTTTTGTGCGTGAGTAATAACTTTTATTCACTCACATATTGGAATCTGCGTGGCCTGGGATGATGTGAAGCACACCCATATAATTAAAACATGTAAACTGAAAGCATTAAGTATGATTCACTTTTCATGTCTTATATTTATAATACCAAGCGATTTTAGTTATTTTGTCACTGTTATCATTTATCGATTCATTTTATCTCATTTTACTTCAGTCTCTTCACTCTTGCGTAGCACACACAACATTGCCTGACTGATGGGTGTCTGGTCTAAGTGTCTGTTAGCTGAAAATTCCTACTTATTGCTGTGTATTTCTTGTCTGCCATCAAGAGTGCCTCACGTTGCAGGCGATCAAGATTCATGCCACTGAATTTATTTTCTCTTCACTCATATTCCAGTGAGAGTACTTGATATAAAATTTTTAGGTAAATGCCATTTATAGCCTGCAAGGCTGCAATTCACTTGTGATTTTACAACTGATTATGCAATGGGATTTAGTAGTGTTGAAATGTTGACATTACTTTCATGTAACAAAAGGGTTTATCATGATTGCCAAGCTATGAGCTACAATTAATGCTTATACAGTCATTCAACAGTTGCAATGCCTGTATCTGATGTAGTATTTCACAAAGCTGCAAGTCTACACGGCTGCTATATTTAAACACAGCAATGTACTTCATATTATACTCCATATTATACTTCGATTTCCTTTACAGGTATTGACACTCTCTAGCAGTTCATGCTCAACACAGATGCATGAAAGTAAGGAAGAGAAACAGCTTTCTATGATTCAATGTGCTGGTAATTGCTTTTACGTTATAACTATTGTTTTGTAGCGACTTCCTACTTGCTTGCCGAACCTACTATAACAATACAAAAAATGGATATGTAGTCTTAATTTTAGCATTTTTGGATACTTTGGGTAAGTATATGAAGTTGTACCTTGAATAGGCAGATTGAACAAGTTTCTGCATGTACACCTTTAATAAACTAGTTTCTGAAAAAACTAGTCTTTTGTATACAATTGTTGACTCGGGTCAAGCTAATTTTATTTATCACCGGATTTCATCTTGGAGCATGGAGAATCCGTAGACTTGACAATTGAAATTAGGGTGGGGATACCCTCGGCTCATCTGGTCTTTTTGCATCTGGTCAGGACTCAGGAGGTAAAAACCAGCACGTGACGACATTTTGCTTAAGAAAATTAATCAGGATGCAACACAAGTTACACAAATCTTTAATTGAATTGGCACCATTATTTGATGTATCACCACCATTTGATGTATCCCTTCCATCACATGTCCTTTGTGCAAACCTCAACCCAAATCGGAGATTCATACTCAAGCATTGACTATTAGTCATAGTAGGCCCCATCGCTTGGAACTTTAGTCCATAAATGTGTAAGCCTTTCATTTCCTGTGTATCCATTTGATCATCTGCTCCTAGTGCACCCGTAGTCTTCCTGGTGGAGTCTTGACTTTGGCTAGAGTCCTTAGTCAAAGAAAGCCTCTCGGTGATGGATCGGATGGAACTTCCCAGCTGCCAGCACGGGTTGATGGTCCTCATCATTTAGTTGCGTAAGGCCCTTCCGCGGCTGGTCAGCCAGGTCGGGCCTGCTTCAAGATGCCATCATTCAACTTCTAAGATTGGTCTGAGATGTGGCTTTTGGATCGTCAATGCTGAGAACGTCGTCTATTGTTATATGTTGGCTGAGGATCCATGATCCCTTTTCATGCTGCATCCCTCACATTTGATTTGCTGGGAACCATAGATAATGTCATAATGTGATAACACAGCGTGTTGTTGGCAACTTGGCATCCTCTTGTGCTTATGGTCGAAACCAGTGTTTCTTATCATCAACTGATCAACAATCACGAGTAACTTGATGATTGATCTCTAATTCCATGATTTCTGGTGACCAATTTTATTCACATGAATGTAAACACAATTTAGTTATTTGGATACTGAGCGTTTGTTGTATGTTCTCTTCAATCAATATGCAATTTTTTACTCATGATCATATGAAATGCTGTACTCAAATTGCCCTAAGTTGTGTTTGTTTCCTCTTTCGTTTGTCTGCTAATTACTTACCTTTCTGCAGGTAGTAATGTCAGCAGCCTACCAAAAGATATTGAAATTTATAAAGCAAAGCAAGAGGAAGCTGTCAGGAAATATGAAATGTGAGATGACAATCTTCATCTTCATTATTATAACGCCCTCTCTTCCTAACTTGTTGCCCATTTCTGTTTTCCTTTGTCTTGAAGTTATAGTCTATTTCCTTTTAAGGAAAAAATGCAGTTCACAATGTTTCTCTCTTTTAAATAAATCTCAATTACACAGCTTTTCACAACTTAAATCCTGTTCCTGGCAAAAAGGGCAACCACTTTTGGGATGGGGGAGTAATTATTTGTTGCTTTGGCTGTTCGCTGACTTATTTATATTTATTTATTTAATTTTTATACTGGAATACTTTCAGTTTGTTGGAATTTGAGAAGCAACTTTTGGCTGCATTCCCAAAGGTGAAAACGTAGATAGCAACCTGGTGCAGCTGTTCAGTTAGATGGTGGAGTCCTCTCCATATTCTGTTGTTTTCTGAGCTAATCCTTTCTCTTCAAGAGTTACGTGCGGCGTATTTCTCTTGGAATGTGTTTCTTTTTAACATGCCCTGACATTACCACCTCCCAACTCCTTCCACCCTTTGAAGGTAAAAGTAAAATCTCGACTAGGATTGTTGACATGAATTCTGTACCTCTGGTTCCTAATATTAACAGATTCGTAGTATAGTTGGGTTGGTTTTGATTTGGGATTGTGTCCATTCATGTACCTAGCGACACATATTATGGCATTTGATGATGTCATATAATAACGGAAACATACAATACAACCCTTATACTACGTATCCGATTATTGAAATATATACGGAACACGTCAATGTGCTCATCATGGAGCACGATGACATGATAAATGTTAGGATTTTACTATTTTCTTAGATAAGAGAATGGTGTCTATTTATTATGCAAATGTGCTCACCATAGAGAACGTCGGTGGTTTATGTAAATGTACTCAAAAAACTATCTCTATGACCAGATTATTTAGGGGATGTTTTTATTGAGAGGATAAGTAAGTGGATGTAGGTGTTTATGTGGATGGGTGGAGTGGTGAAACCATGCGGGCCATGCGGCCATGCAGGGCTTTATGTTCTTAGATATGCCCTTTAGGTATATTTTACACACTATTATAGTATTGTTATTATATTCATTAGATATATTTTATTAAACCGAACAAATAGTACTTTACAAACGTAAATGAATTTTATTAGCTACATTTCCATATATAACAATGTTTGGACCTGATGATCTATTGCTGGTATCCCCTTGTCAAAAGTTTTGGCTATGCCCATCATGTTTTTTGAACATACATCTTAACCGACCTAATGTCAGAAAGCATCAAGTTTTAACAACAAAAATAAGATTTCTTTCATAGCTTTTAGGGCTGGGCATATCGGTTTTCGGTTCGGTTTTTATCGGTTTCGGTTCGGTTTGGAACAGGTTGAGAGAATTAGTACCAAACAAAAACCGTACTATTTTTCGGTTTGGTTTAGTTCGGTTTGGTTCGATTTGGTTCGATTTGGTTTTGTTATTTTTTAATAAAATATGAAGGATTTTTTGAATTTCTTTAGTTCGGTTCGGTTTTATCGGTTTCGGTTCGGTTTAATACGGTTTGGAAAAAATACTACCAAACTCAAACTAAATTGCATACGATCCGGTTTTGGTTCGGTTTAGTTCGGTTTGGTACGGTTCGGTTAAATCAAACCGTTATGGCCACCCCTAATAGCTTTAATAGATAGTATTGAAATAAGTGAAGATAATGAAATATGTACGTAGTGTATTTAGTGAAAAAGTCAATAATATAAGACTTATTCGACATGTTTACCTTGTTACTTTGCTCTTAAACATATGATTAGGTTATTGATGTAGTTGAAGTAAATCTCTTATGAATAGTTAAGTTTATACAAAGTTAATGGTTGTTTAACATAACTTTGTAGGTATTATTTGATTCAAGCATTAAATATTATTGTAATTACAACTTAGAAAAGTGATCCAACTTACTGATTGCCGATTGACTCTCTTATATGTGATGTTTCGGGTTCAAACTCCTTAGAAGCAGTTTTAGTAACATTTACCCTAGGCTCCCCCAACCCCCTCCCCTTACCCCGGGGTAAAATTAAAGTTGCAATTACAACTTTATCCTCAATTGTTAACACAATTTTATATGCATATTTAACCTCCATATATTGCCACCTTGGTGGGGGGTCATAGCCATTGGCTGCCACTGTTATCTGTCTACCTCAACTGTTATCACCATTGTCATATTATCTTTATAGTTGAACTTCACTAGAATTCCTAGAATCTGCAAGTCAGAGGGAACTCTGGGAAAGTAGACAAGAGATTTTAGGTCAAGCACGAAATTCTGGATAGACTTAGGAAGCAAATTTCAGTTTACTGGCATTGGGTGCTAAATTGAAGCAACATTCCTAAACCTGCTTGTTAGGAATGTATTTTATTGTGTCCGGTTGCATTAATTATCTTTATATTTGTGTATTCAATAGATCATTTGTTAAATCGGGTCAAGTGTGTATTTGGGTCCGTAAATCTTTTGTAATATGAAAGCCTAACTTTTTGATATTATATACTTCGTATATGAAGACTAAGCTTCCGTAAACCTAACTAACGACGTTCATTCATTGTCCAAAGAGAGGAGAGCCGCCGTTCTTTATATCTGTCCAATACCTCGGTCTGTAACTTTCCGCTCATTTTTCTTGTATTCAATATTATATTTATTGCTCTGATCTACTCTCTGCTATTCTTTACATCTGTGATTGTCGCTCTACATTTCTTTGACATGTTATTTCACAAAAAATCTAGTTCGAAAATCTCGATTTTCTGTCCTCTGTGTTCTAAAAGCTCTAGAAAATACATAGTTGAGCTCGTTTTGATAAGTTAAACATTTCTGTATCCTTTTTAGCAAAAAATATCAAAACCTTACCCTATTCGGAAAACTGCCTCTAGCTCATTTTCGGAAACCCTACCCGTTCCGGCCGTTCGGAAACCAAGTTTATGCAGAAACCCATGTTCAGAAACATACTCATCCGGTTCGGAAACCGCATTAGGAAAGCCTGGTTTGGAAACTTAGACCGTTCGGAAACAAGCCCCATTCGGAAACTTAGGTTGTCCGAAAGAAAGCCTGTTGAATAAAAAGCATTCCAATTTGGTTATTTTGATTGGCTGAATTTTGATATTAAAATTAGTTGTGTATTTTAAGAGCTTATTATTCAGTCGTGGATCTCTGAGTTGCAACAATTGGAAGAAGTTCCGAGGAAAGCAATTGTAGCAAAATTCTTATACAGAATTGCGTGCAATTAACCTCAGTCCCCAGATGAGTGGACAACGTGTGGGAACTTAATTGATTCTTTATCCACTGTTGCCGCCACAATGAACATCATTCGGGCTGTGAAATGTGAAATGTGAGTGACTTCAGAGTGATTTTTCAGAGATGTCTTGCTGTTATAGTGACACATATATTTATCTATCAATTTTTTCAATAAATGACGATCAAGCTGTTTTTTAAAAAAATACTCCCTCCGGTTTTATTTAATCTTCACACTTTGACTTCACACAAAATAAGGAAAGAAATTTGACTTTACTGTAGAGTACACTGTTGAGGCGTTGTTTGACACCGTTTGCCACTGTAGAGACACTGTTTGGCACTGTTGAGACACTGTTTGGCACTGTTTTGATGTAGATTTCTTTGCCAAAAAAGAAATAAGGAAGTGTGAAGTTTATTTTAGACCGTCCCAAAAAGGAAAGTGTGAAGTTTATAAAAAACCGGAGGGAGTATGTATTTGAGGTATAGGATGTCATGGTATACATGATTAATTTCAATTGATTCAGTCATCCATCTTGATTTGCAAATATTAAGGCTTGATATTGATAGGTAGGCTTGGTCGAAAGGGATGGTGGGACTTTACGCAAATGATCTGATATGAAAATTAGTTTATACGAGTAATATTATTGAATTGAATTAAAAACTTTAGAATAAATTTAATTGCACCTCTAATATAATATTTGTCGTTATTGTCACAGTAAGTTAATTATCTTTAATCATTATATATCACTGTGAAGTTAATATAAATCAGTACATATACTTTAACCATTATAAATGGCACTTTAGAAGAAGACCCATTATATATCACTGTGAATATACAATATCTGCACAAAAAATATCTTTAACCATTATATTTCTTTTAGTTATATTTATTTCACTATTTCTATAATCAATAAACTATATGAAATGAGTTTCTGTAGGGCAATATCCCTTTCTGTGGAGCACATAGCACAAGCAACGAAAAAGACGTAGATGATCGTATGATGGAGTATGGTTCAGTAGTGAGGGTGTACGACTAATGAGATAGCCATCCAAAAGAACACATTCGCCCCCAAAATTTAGGGTTAAATTGACTTGAAAATGTAGGGCACATGCAAGTTTAGGGTTATGACATTGTTTTTTTTCAACTCTCCCATTCTATTGAGGTGAGAAAATATAAGAACTTTGGATCAATATACCATGATGAAAAAATGGCGAGAAGGTTGAAATTCGGTCTCATTGTCACTATGCAAAAAATTTAATAGTTCCACCATATTAGTATGAACCATGACAATTTTTTTGAGAACATTTTCAACCTCCAAATAGCTCTAGAATACTTATCTGCAATTGTAAAAAATAATGAGAACCACAAGACGATGCTTCCTGATATGGACCCTACACATCACAATGTACTAATTCAAACGATTTTATTGCTCAACTAGTATTTATAGGAAACACTTCACGAGTTTGTTTGGATTTAATACAAACATCACAAATCTTACGTTCCAAATACTTTTTTACTAGTATTCAGATGCAAAGGAAGCAAACTAGCTATGGTGGAAGACAATTGCCCCATGCATTGATGAGACAAATTAAAACAAGAAAAACTAATGACCCGATTATCCTGAGCATAGCATATCACCCACTCCATTCAACGTCTTTAAAGCATGGCATATATCACACAAAAAGCATTAGTGACAATAACACGACAACATAAGCCTTCAATTAAATGTCCCACATAGACCAAACCACATGTAAGCCTTGAAACAAAATAAAAGATGCTCAAAAATAATATTAGAACCAAAGCATACACTACCTACATCTGTAGTTATGCTTACCTCACCATTCGGTAAGGCGAAAGGAGATAAAGAAAGCAGCGTCATACTAATAAACACACGTCGTGTTTTTATTAGTAGTCGTGTAATACATCACTCTTCCTTAATAAGGATGTGATATATTTTGCTTAGAGGAGGTTCCGACATACTAAGAATATTGGACCTAAGAGAGAGAAAGTGGTGCCATTAAGTCCCAAACCTAACTCATGCACTTTATCGGTTTCAACACTAGTAAGGTGCACTTTTTCAGATTGCAAGTGCAGCCACCACACCTACATTTTGCACAAAGAGATACCCGATAAGGTAATACCATAGAGATTTTAGTTGACCGTAGTAGATTGTGTCTCTCAATCTTGACTGTTCATCCAAACACCTTCCTTCAACTCATGCAAACGCACAACGTCACAAACATCAAAACACTACATGAGGTTATCCCACAACTCACATACATTGTTCATGAACGTTATAAGAGCATAAACCAACATTGATGGATGACATTATCTAACCCACCCACAAACATTGAATTTACATTGAACCGACCTTTAATATTGTCATTATCATCCACTGGTTTTGTAATGGCACCTCAACAAATCTGAGTTTTCACTTTTCCGAAAAAGTATGGCACATCTAGGTCACTCATTCACGATAGTTTCCTTCTCCTCGTAATGCAATACAACAAATATTCAACCTCGAATACATGAGTTGCGCAAGAAAAACCGAGAAGAGAGATCATTTACTTTCGTCGTGGTGCAATCTGGTCGTTGGTCGTCGTCAAGATTCTAGTAACATTGGTTGGAGTGACACCTCTTGTATTCACCATTACAAGAGGCCGTCGGGGAAAATATATATAATT